CAAGATGGTGGGGCAGCTTGTGTCGGATGCACAACCTATGTTACGGTGTTACTGAAAAAAACCCAACAAAACAAACACACACAAGAACCCCCTCAAAAGACAGAAGATGACTTAAAGAATTGCTGTAGCGCCTCGATGGGAAAGGGCAAGCAGAAAGATCCAACAGTATTGTGGCATTGCACGTTAGGAGAGTCATCTGAAGTGTCCTCAGGAGAGGAGAAACAAGAAATACACCTGGATTATTTTGAAAGAATTACTGTGTTGGTTTTGTTTATGTTGTGTTGGCTGACCAAGAAGTGTGGTAGAATTCTTCACCTTTTTTCTAAAGGGCGAGGGGTAGGAAGGGTTCCTCTGGAAAACATCTGAAAAGAAACGTCCAAGAAGCAGAGGGAGATGTCTTTGCCCCCATTATTTCCAGTCCTCCCCTTGTTTGCTCCCTTGTGCATTAATGCATATGTGGACCAGTAACTCAGTTTCTCTGACCGCCTTTTTCCCACAAATACGTTCTTTTCTGAAGCTATACCTGTCAGCTTCTCAGGAATACAAGTAAATCATTTTTGTTTGTACGGTAACTTACAAATATCCTTCTGCTGCTGCACGGGGATCCTTTTAGTTTCCCATGTCGGTGCTCTTATTCTTTCCCCAGCTCTCCTTAACTGCTCCGCTGGATCCGTGGATCCCTTCTTCCCTCCTTTCCCTGATTATGTGATAGAGAACTCACGCTTGTGTTGACAGCGACCTTTCTCTGCCGTTACCACCGGTGTCTCGGGTTCCTTGCCCTGCATGTTCATACTTTCCCATCCTCCCCTGTCCTTGATATCCCAGGATCTTGCTTACTTCCTCCGACCTAAACAGCTCCGTCTGCCTTATGTTTCTCATTCTTTGCTTCCTCTCCTGTCCCTTCTGTGCCAGATTCTCGACTGCCCTTGCAAACTTTTTTTTTCCCTTTTTTTCCCCCTTTTCTTTACACTCTCCTCCTTCCCCTTCCTTTCTGCTGCCTCCCCGATTCCCTCTTCTGCTCTTACCCTTTCTGCAGGATGAGCCAGCCTGGTGGGATGTACTGGAGGAGCAGGCTGTGTACTATTAAGCTGCTGGTGGTTTTCCACAATATTGAGGTCTCTCTGGCCTTTCTTGGCAGATGTGGCTGTTTTCCCACAGAACAGCAATTTCTAGCTGTCAGCATGCTTCTCACCACTTCTGCTTTACAAGACAAATTAAAGAGCTGCACCCTTCAGTCTCAAAAGGAAGGGCTTTGTATCGGGCCAGTGGTGGAGTGTGGCTCTAAACTTGCTTAAATAATTCCTTCTCCTGTGTTAGATCCTAAATGCCTTCTGTTGAATATTTAGCATATCCGATTTGATTGGAAAAAAAACATAGTATGTGGTCGCCAGTGTGCATAGAGCAACTTAGAAATGTAGTTTGTGTATTTTTTTTCTAAACCTGGACCACTTTTATTTTCCTTAGGAGTGAAAACTGGAAGGCTTTTTCAACTCAAGCTGTAATGTGTAGTATGTCATTTGCTACACGTCAAAAACTATACTTTGCTGAAGAGTAGGCTTTCTGGCAAATTGCTTTGATAGAAGAAAATAACACATTCTGCACGATGTATTTCAATAGCTTCTCTAATGAAAAGCATCAGATAAAAATAAAATGCTTTCAATTCTATAGATCAGTCTGTGGTTGATGAAACGTTGTTTCCTGCTCCTGTACCTTAGAATTTAAGGGCCAATACATCCTGTCAACTTAATTTCTCTGTGCATGGAATTGGCAGGACAGAACTGGATCTCTGCATATTTTTTTCCCCACTGTTTTGTTAAAAACAATAGATTTTTTTTTATGAACCTTTGAATGCAGTATTATAGTTTGGCTTTTATATTAAATCAGTAGCATTCTTTGCATCGGTGGGTGGTGGAAATAGTTTATAACTCTTGTTTTGCTGCTGTTGCGTCTTGCTGCTGCTCAGTTGTTCTACTCAAAGGATAAAAACCACTTTCCCGTGAGACGTTTTGCAGATGTTGTTTATGTGGAAACTCCAATGGCAAAAAATAATAATATTCAGCTTTATGTATGCACTTAGTTTAGTTTAAGAGTCTGCTGAATTCTTTCTTCTTCTGGGGATTATTTTTATGTGGTGTTTGTAAACCTAATCTGATGCAACTCTGAATCCTTTCACTTCTCTGACAGAGAATTGTAATTTTTCTTCTTGGTGTTATATGCTAATGCTCTGGGCAGAGGTGTTTGATTGATGTGAGACCCCTTCCCCAAGAGATCTGGTTAAACCCTGTCCCCCTCCCATGCCCCAGTTTCTGTGTGAGAGAAGGCGATGGTGTGCTGCTGCTTGGCTTTTGGCTTAGGCAGAGTCTGTGTCTCTTTTATTATATGTGGTGTTGAAATCCAAGGATGCTGTTATCATACCAAAATCTTGTGAAAGCTCCTTAAGAAAAAGTCCTTCTGTTTTTCCCATACCACACCTTTTTCTCAAGAAAAAAACCTTTTAGACTAAATTTTGCTGTTCTGCTGTAGTTTCTGCCATTATGCAACCGTAAGCCTGAAAGACGCTTGCTTGGTCAGTGGCCAGTAATCTGCTGTGGAAAGAGATGATATCATACTATACTTCTCTTTAAATTTGTGCTTACGGGTTGTAACCATCCCTTCTTAAGATGTAAACATCTAGAAGCTTTATTTCATTTTTTTCAAATTTATAGATGTCATTGGGATCACAGAGATGTGGTGGGATATCTCACATGACTGGAGTGCTGCAGTGGATGAAAACAGGCTCTCTAAGAAGGACAGGGCAGGAAGGAAAGCATGGGGAGTTGCCCCTCGTGTGAGACAGCAGCAGGGATATGTGGAGCTTTGCCTTGGGATGGATGATGGGCCAGCTGAGAGCAGGTTGGGATTAGTGGGTGATGTTGTTTTGGGCGTCTGCTGTAGACTGCCTGATCAGGAAGAAGTAGTAGGTGATGTTTTCTTCGCATAACTGGAAGAAGCTTCCCATTCACAGGCCCAGGTCCTCATGTGGGTCTTGAAGTGCCCTGACATCTGCTGGAAGGGCAACACAGCAGGACATAAGCAATCCAGGAGTTTTCTGGAGTGCATTGATGACTTCCTAACACACGTAGTCAAGGAGTCAATGGACAGAGGTGCTCTGTTGGACCTCATGCTTATAAATGAGAACAGACAGGTTGAGATGTGAAGGTCAGGGTCGCAGTGGCTGTAGTGGCCATAGGCACCTTGGTTGTAGTGACTGTGAGATGGTGGAGTTCAGGATCCTGAGAAGAGGGAACAGGACAAAAAGCAACATCTCAACCCTGGACTTTGGGAAACAGACTTTGGCGTGTTCAGGGATCTGCTTGGAAGTGGTTGATAAGAAAGGTGTTTATGCTGCCGTTCATAGGGACATTGACAGACTGAAGAAATGGGCAGAGAAGGAATCTCATTAAGGTCAGTAAAGAGAAATACAAAGCCCTGCAGGCACTTGGGGAGGAATAACACCATTCTCCAGTACGGGCTGGGGGTGAGCCGTCTGGAAAGCAGCTTTTTAGAAAAAGGCCCGGGGTGACCTGGTGGACAGGTTGACCATGCGCCAGCCGTGCTCCCTCATGGCAAAGAAGGCCAATGGTATACTGGGCTGCATTAGGAAAAGTATTGTCAGCAGGTGATCCTTTTCCTCTGGCCAGCATTTGGGGGAAACACACCTGGAGTGCTGTGTCCAGTGCTGGGCTTCTCAGAGAAGAGAGTCATGGGCATACTGGACCAGGTCCTGCGAAGGGCCACAAAGACTATTAAGGGCTTGGAGCATCTCTCATGAGAAGAGGCTGAAAGAGCTGGGATAGTTTAGCCTTGAGAAGAAGGAGGTTCACGGCATCTTACTGGTGTATATAAATACCTGATGAGAGGGTGCAAAGACAGAGCAAAACTGTTCTCGAGGTGCCCTGTGATGTTATAAGAGGCAATGGGCAGAGACTGAAACACAGGAAATTTTGTCTGAAATAAGAAAACACTTTTTTCACTTTGAGGGTGGTCAAACACTGGCACAGGTTGCCCAGAGAGGTTGTGGAGTGTCCATCTTTGGAGATGCTCGAATCTCACTGGACATGGTCCCGGTGATCTGCTTTAGGTGACTCATGCTTTGAGTAGGGGGTTTGGATAGACTAGATGATCTCCAAGAGGTCCCTTCCAACCTCAACTGTTCTATGGTTCTGTAGAAGGCATGTCAAGGAATTTATCTGTCTTTAGCTTCTAATATTTTTAATGATGCAATTAGAATTGTCATGTTTTCAACTGTTATTCACTTTAATTGCGTTTTACTTTTAATGTTGATAGTGTCATGGTGTTTTGCACATCTTGCTGTAAATCCTTGAAGGAATACCAGTATATGATTTGAACAAGCATGTACTTCCAGTTATTATCAGAGAGAGAACTATGCTACTGTGTGAAACTGAAGTAGACTGTATGCACACAGTAAAGGTAGTTTTACTGAAAGTTCAAGAATCTTTTTTTCAGTATGACAAATGCTATGTAAAATACTTTCTAAGAACACCTGCAACTTTCCTTCAGTGTCTTGAGAATACTTATCTTTTGTAAAAACCTTTTGTGAGCGTAGTCAATTACTACTAGTGTGCAGTGCATGCATGGATTATTAAAATAAATAATGGTTTGTAGAGGAGCAACATTGGATCCTTATATTAACATCCCTCTAAATGTAGAACACTGAGTTGAAGGCTCCAAATAAGTTTATTACCAGACAAATATCTAGTTTTTCTGCTGGCTTCCTGATTTTTCTGTTGTATTGCTTAAGACTTGAAGAAGATGCTATGCCTTTTGACATCAAATTTGAAAGACCACAGCCCGATGGGAGCAGAGGGAGAAGTTAGTCTGGTGTCCCCTACGAGGTCTGACTTCCCTGGTCATGTCCCGGAGGTTATTCAGAAGATTTTGAAGTCTGCTTGGTTTGAAATATTTTCTAATGGCAGTTTTTTGTAGTAACAGCTGAGTTCTACTGATTTTTTTACCTCAGGTGGAAGAAAGTAATTAGGTGGTTATGTTTCAAAACTTTCAACTTTTTTTTTCCTGTAAGGGGTGTATTGTTGTAGTAAATAGGTAGCATCCCCTTCTCTGTGTGATGTACACAGGTAAGACAAGGTTTGTGGGCAAAGGATTACACATCTGTAGCTCTAAAATAAATTTTATGATTATACATAGAGTTACTTTTCTAATTATATCAGTTGGTCTAAAAAAAGATGTTACCTCCTGCCAACAATCTTGTGTGCTGGAAAAATGCATGCTGCAAATTCATTAGTGAGATTAAATGTGGGTTTTTTTTTGTTTCTCCAAACGGAAAATGCATTTAACTGCAATGAATCCATATTTCGTTGTAGCAGATGTTTTCTGGCTTCTCTCAAAGGCCGAGATAGTCCCTCCCACCGCTGTACTCTAACCGCCATGGCATCAAGTGCTCTTTAACCTTTGTTGCCTCTGCTTAATTGACATAAAAGAGAAAGTAAATCCTTGCCTGCCACGAAACAGTATGAGGCAACCTGTTCAATGCATCGCTTGGTAGAACAGCATTTGAATTCAGTGCTGCCATGTATTGGTTTTTGAGAGCGGATAGTCCCTTGTTCATTATTTTAAAATGATGGTAACAACCGAGACTAGGACCTGCACTGCCCATCATTGGCTGTAGTTCAGAAAATGGCAGGTGCTTTGCAAATGGGGCTGGAAACGGAGCGGGTAGGTGTTGAATGCCAGCTTCAGTGAGGCATCGGTTATCATTTCTGCTCTGTCTCCTGTAGACACTCCACAGCCCTTCTGCCTGGTTGATCCTTCTTACCAGGCTTTCAAGCATCGGTTGGAGGGGGAGATAGCAGTTGCAACATCTGGTTCTGGTTAGCTATGTGCGCATGAACTGTGATGTTTCACTAATACTTTCTCTTGTCATGAAATTTATTAATGTGAAATTTTATTAATGTTTTGTATGGATTCCTGCTTGAATGTCTGCCCCTATGCCATCTTTCATTGTTATTCATGATGACAAACTCGGTGCTAGGATGCTGTAAGAGCAAAGTACAGCTTCAACACATTCTACAAATGTGGCTTGGGCATGTGAAACAATCTTTCACCATTCCAAAAATCTGTAGCGCTTCTGGTTTTGCCATGAAACATGTGAAGACAGAATTAGAGACTTCAGCTGCATGGAGCAGTTGTCCATTTGCTGGCTTGCCACCTAGCAAGCAGGCAGCGGTCTGCATGCCATGGTCCATCACCAGCTGCTGCTGCATCTCCTCATGGCTTGAGAGGAATCCCGTAGCTGCTTCCAGTAACACTTCAATACAGAGCCATCAGCTGCATGATGACTCTGCTGTGCTGCACTGTGAATTAGTCCCTGCCCTCAGAAATCATTTCAGTGTCTCACTTAGTACTTTATTTGAAAATTAAAGTGTGTTTGGCCCAGAGGAACGTGAGGGATCCACATTTGTGAAACCCTGTTGCCCTCATCGGTTGTCGTTGCTTGCAGGTGAAGAAGACAGGTGGAATAACTTGAGGGATCTTGATGTTGATGGCAGGCTTGTGGGAGATGCCAAGCTGATAACACCCACACTAGACTTCATTGGAGTCTGCTGGGAACTCGTTACACACTTCGTGAATCCAGAGCAGGATCCAGCTTCCTCAGTGTTTCATTGTGCAGCTGGTTAGGATGTGCTTCTAGGGGAAGGTGGCCCCTTTCAGTGCTCTTGCTGGTTTTCCTCAGTGCTCCTGTGCCTGGCGGGTGTCTCTAGGATGTATTTTAAGATGGTGATGTAGAGGATTGCATCCTAGAAGGAGATTTTTGTGCACAAGTGAGTTGTGGCTTTCTGCTGGGGGTGCCTGGCAGCTTGAGTGGAGGGCAGGGCGTGTTACAGCTCGCCGTAGGTGTTAAGTGTGGCCATGGTTCTCATTGACTCCTGGCTGCTGGCTGGCATCTCCAGTAGCTGACTTCGGAGCAGAAGCAATGTCTGAAATCCCACCAGTCGGTTAGTGTAGGGCATCGAGTGTCCCATCCCCTTGGAATCCTTACCACTGAGTGTCCCCTGCGGATGGGCTTTCAAAGAGTTGACTATCGAGGACTTTTGCAAAAGAGGGAGGAATGAGGAGAACCTTGCCCTTCCCTCTTCACCTTTGCCCTTCTGATAGATGAGGGAAATGTGTTTGCATGTGCGCCTGTACCACAGCCTGGTTATTAAACACATCCCCAGGAAGCAGAACACTTGAATTCAGTGCTGCTTCTGCGTTATGTGATTTAATCCTTGCTCCTAGAATCACAGAATCATTTTGGTTGGAAGAGACCTTTAAGATCATCAAGTCCAACCGTTAACCTAACACTGCCAAGTCCACCACCAAACCATGTTCCTCAGCACTATGTCTAACCGTCTTCTCAACACCTCCAGGTGTGGTGACTCAACCACTTCCCTGGGCAACCTGTTCCAATGCTTGGTAACCCTTTCTATGAAGAACTTTTTCCTAATATCCAATCTAAACCTCCCCTGGAGCAACTTGAGGCCATTTCCTCTTGTCCTATCGCTTGTTACTTGGGAGATCTACCCCCACCTCTGTACAATCTCCTTTCAGGTAGAGAGCAATAATGTCTCCCCTCAGCCTCCTTTTCTCCAGGCTAAACAACCCCAGTTCTCTCAGCTGCTCCTCATAGGGCTTATTCTCCAGATCCCTCACCAGCTTCGTTGCCCTTCTCTGGACACACTCCAGCACCTCAATGTCTTTCTAGTGAGGGGCCCAAAACTGAACACAGTATTTGAGGTGGGGCCTCACCAGTGCCGAGTACAGGGGGACGATGAACTCCCTAGTCCTGCTGGCCACACTATTCCTCATACAGGCCAGGATGCCATTGACCTTCTTGGCCACCTGGGCACACTGCTGGCCCTGATCACCAAGTGGTATGGTATCCTAAAGAAAGGTTGGGCTTGCCCTGCTCTCTTGCTGAAGCTGTGCAATGGTGCAGGCAGAAAAATAACCTCTAGGAGCCAAAAGCAAGTGATTGGGGACCTGACTTGGGAGCTGGAGAGCATTGTGTCAACCGTGCTGCGAGGTTATTTCATGGATTTGATGCCTTATCTTGTTCACTGCTTTGCTTACCAAAACCACATTGCAGCTTCTGCTTGTGTTTGCCTGAAGAAAGACCTGTTTCCAAGGTCTTCTGAGGCAGTATAACAAGGGTGGGGGAAGGATTGATATTTCCTTCGTCTGGTGACTGAAGGAGGACATGTAGCTGGTGAATCATAGAATGGTTTAGGTTGGAAGGGACCTTAAAGATCATCTAATTCGACCCCCCTGCCATGGGCAGGGACACCTCCCACTAGACCAGGTTGCTCAAAGCCCCATCCAACCTGGCCTTAAATATCTCCAGAGATGAGGCTTCCACAGCTGCTCTGGGCAACCTGTTCCAGTGCCTCACCATCCTCATAGTGTAAAATTTCTTCCTAATATCTAATCTAAATCTCCCCTCTTCCAGTTTGAATCCATTTCCCCTCGTCCTATCACTACATGTCCTTGTAAAAAGTCCCTCCCCAGCTTTCTTGTAGGGCCCCTTTACATACTGGAAGGCTGCTGTAAGGCCTCCTCAGAACTTTCTCTTCTCCAGGCTGAAGAACCCCAAGTCTCTCAGCCTGTCCTCACAGGAGAGGTGCTCCAGCACTCTGATCATCTTTGTGTCCCTCCTCTGGACCTGCTCTAACAAGAATGGAAGTGAACAAATAAAGCGAAGGCTTCCCCATATTGATTTTCGTTTACAACGTAGGAGAAGAAAATGGAGCCTGAAGAAAGCTTTGAAGCAGGAAATGCAATTAGGGGTTAAACTATGTTTAAATTTCTAATTCTAAAGTGCAGACATCCTTTAGCTGGTCAGCTATAGGTTTGGAAAATGGGTGAAATAAATATAGATGGTGTTTAAGAAACAGGACCTAGTAATGTATTCTGTCTTGGTAGTTTACATAATTCCTGTTTGAATATAATACTGTAATTTCCTGAAGAAGCCTTAAAAGCTGAGGCAGCATGCATATGTTGAAAATCTGTATTGGTGTCTAAGGGAAACTTGACATAAGAACAAGTACTCACAAATTTTTAAGCTTGTCAGCAACAGCTCAAGTGCCTGCACACACACAAAAAAAAAATAAAATCTTGCTCTATCCTGTGTGAATATAACCCTGAAACTGGAGTTTATTTGCAGTTTTCTTCCCCCTCTCCCTCTCGTTCTAATTTCTGCTGCTCATGCTGGCCCACCTCGAAAATTAGGCAGTGGATTTCATAAAGGTTCTAATTTTAATTCTCTTGGCTGCTAGTAGTAGCCTTTTTATGGAAACATTTTGCTTAACACGGTACGAATTCAGTTACGTGACCTGTGCCAGATGGGTTTGGAGTGTGACACATCTCTAGCGCTGGAAAGGCTCTAGCAGTGAGATGTTGCTTCTCCCCTTAAACAGAGTTAGCTGCAAGTAGGTCTTCATGCCCTCCTGGGTTTTTTATTTCAGTTGCCTATTGTTTTCGTCTATTTCCATGTTTGTTTGTTTTTTTTTTCCATCAGGAAAGGTGCTGAAGCATTCAGGCAAGATTCTCCGGCATGAATGTTTTTTATTGTAGGAGTGAACCATTGAAAGAAAGCTGGCAACACGTGGTGTTTTGGCCACTTTGGCAGGAAAAAATCTTGAGTTTTATCAGTCCTACTAGTTTGGCTTAATTCTGTTAACTTTTATGTCTAGAATCGAGTGCCAGTTGTAGTGGTATTCTTTTTTTTTTAAAAAAATGGTATAAAAAATGAGGACTGTGGGATCACACTGTCTGTTTATACTTTTCAGTGAGTCACACACTTATCACTTTTTTTTCTTATTTTTCTTCTGTTGGCTGACATCGACCCAATTTTGTCAGAATTAAGTTTTTTTAAAAATATGTGGCTGGGTGGAGGAGAGAGACTTGGTTAGTTTTCCAGCATGAGAAGGACTCTGTTCAAGATGTGTGTTCTTAGAAAATCCATATAAGAGAAACCTTTACAAATTCTTTGATAGCAGGAAAAGCTTCCCCTGAAGGTTGGGAATTGCCACTACGTAGAAAGTTGTAGGCTCCTTTAGTGCTGATGCTTATGGAATTCTGTGTCTCATTGAAGTGCTATTAATTAGGCTGGCTAAACTGAGCAGCATTAAAAGTGTTGCCAAGATACTCGCAGGGACGTCGGGTCTGCAATCAAAACCTGCTATTACAGCATGCTGGGTGGATGTGCTGCTCTGGCCAACAACCCCATTGCACTTTGGTTAGCGTGAGAGCTTTTCAAATAGAGACTGAACTGTGTCTGATATATTGAATTAGGAACATGTTTCTGGTTGGCATATATTTAAGAAATTACAGTTATTTATATCTATATATACATATATATTTACATTTGTTGAACTCTGTTCAGTAAGCTCTTAATTCTCTTTTTTATTCCCCTGTGATCTTTCTGACAGGTAAAACAAAGATGGCAAAAAGGAGGCGCTTGCCTCTCCAGTAGTGCTTTAGAACACTAATGATGTGCCTTGGATAAAGGAGGAATAGTTACTGAAATGGGAATAGCATGTACTACACATGCAAGAGTGGTTGAGTTCTGTACTTTAAAGGAAAAAACCAAGGAGTTCAAAGAAATGCCATTCACATAACTGCAGCTTCTGATTTTATCTAGGAAATGGTGTCATTCATTAAAAATTGTTATGCAAACTAGAAATAAAGCTCCCAGATCATTTTTCTTTTAAGTATTCAGTTAAAGAAACAGGAATGCTTTTAACTATTGTGCAATTTTGTTTGTTACATGTTTAAAAAACATATACAACACTGACGGCTGGTGCGGTGCCTTCAAACCTTCCCGGGGATGCCAAGGTCTTCATAGCTTTTTGTGACCATTCTTTTTTAACTGTGTTCCTCCTGTCTTTTCTCACTTGCCATTGTAGAGCATCCCTGGCGAGGACAGCTGTTGCTCATGAGAAGATTTGTAGTAGAACACCAATATTTATAACTGTCATATAGTTTAGCAGCTACACACTGGCTGAGGAACACTTTTTGGCAAGTGTTTATTTTGGATAGTGTTAGGACAGATTGGGATCTCTTCTGTGGAGTGTACTCCTGCTGTGTTTTCACAAAAGTATCTTAAAGTGCTTTTCTAAGCTTCTGATGGATTCTTGGTTTAGTCATATTAATAAATATTTAGCAAAAGGGATGCATTTGTTTTAGAATATAAAAATGTTAATAATATGAAAATGCAGTTATGGATCCTGTGAGGACAAAGAAAAAGCATTTGTGGCTTTTAAAATTGTAATATATGTTTTTAGGGAGCTAGAAATGTGGAACTGTAAAGGTTTTTATCTCCCTCGTACAATTTTAACTCTGTTATCAACGGCCTTTAATACTTGGTGGGGACGGACTGCCACTCTGACTCAAAAAATGCCTTTGAATTTTCGCATTCAGATCTGGTGCATCTTTTGGCTGCTGAGTTTTTATAAACTTTTTAAAACTCTATCGTTTTTATTCCCTAAAAGGAACCCATGTTTTCAAGGGAAAACACATTAATTTCAGTTGTGTTTTATTTTTCTGTGATAAGGAGCAACAATGTGATTGGTGCTGAGGTTGCAAAACCTTGCACTTAAAACCTAGTTTATGATCTTGGGCATAAGATGCTCAGACTAAGACTGAACGCCTGTATCATAATACAAATTCACAAGATGATTGTGTTTTAACCTTGTCTCTTAGTAAGATGTCTGTTTTACTGCTTGTTCTTGTGTCAATCTAAGATAGAAATGAGAGACATTCAGAGCGCACACTCCAGCACCTAAAAAAACCCAAAACAAACCAATAATAAAGAAGGTGCTAATTTTCAATAAAGGATTGTGGGTGATTAAGTGTAGGTAGACACCCAAAACTTGCTAGCATCTTCCTGTTGGCTTGAGGGGCAAAACCCATGAGGGTGCAGGGACGTACACGGGCCATGGGTGGGTGAGATGCACAAGTTTTGACTGCTGGGCAAAAATGCAGATGCACTTCAGGGGCACAGAAACCTTCCAAAACTCGAGGAGTCTCGGTCAGTTATGGTCAAGATGACTTGCATGTAAAGTCACTTAATTCTGCACAAATCCTCACCACTTGCAGTCACTCTCATTCACAAGGCCTGGCTGGAAGAGGGGAAAGCTGTGATGAGATAAGGGCTCTCCAGCTTTTCCTAGAGTTGCCTACATCTTAATTGGTTTTTAACAACCGTTTTGTCTTTCACTCACCAGCTGCTCCCAGCACCTGGGGTTGACCCGACTTGTAGCTTGACCCCTCTCCTCTGATGGTTGTTTTGTCTTGGGGGGGGATACAGACCCTCTGAGCCTGTAGCTGGGGGTCAGGGAAAGTTAGTGTCCCACCAGCATTGCGTGCCCCCGTCCTCACCATAGGGACAGGGCTGGGTTGGGTTCCTCTTCAAGCTGGGAAGACCTGGAATCGTTTGTATCCCGCCCAACTTTCATTAGTCCTTCCGAAACTGGGCCGCAGAGCAGAGGATGTTTGAGGCTGGAAAGAAAGTCTTCCCAAGGGAGGCCGGCTCCATAACCTGGTTGGTTATGGCGTTCACCAGTGAAGAAGACCTTGGCAGCCCCTCTCTGTGGGTTTTCTGGTTCATCCCTTAGAAGTGTCTCTCTGCATTAACTTCCTAATGAGCCCCGGTGTGTAATTAGGATGCTTTTAATTACCCTGCTGGGTAACCTCACCCCATTAATGACTGTGAAGCAGGCACTCTGGGTTTCGCTAGTGTCTGTCTGCTGTGATCTTTAATAGCAAGCTTTACAGATGGCTTTTTTTTTTTTTTCAAATAAATTTTCATTTTAGGTCAAACATAGATTATAGTCTGTTTGCATGTAAAAATTAAAAAAAAAATACTCATTCTGATGCAGGTCTGAAAGAGGTCTGCATAACTAATTTTAACCAATAACTTTAATTAGCTCAAATTTTGAAAGCAGCTTCTAGTTATTGCTTATCATGTGAGTTGTGTGAATATTTTCTGACATGGAATTTTTTCTTTCTTTCAGCCTTTCTTCCAACTTGTGAAGTTACGGAAGCTTGGACTTAGTGATAATGAAATCCAGCGGCTCCCTCCAGAAATAGCAAATTTCATGCAGCTGGTGGAGCTTGATTTGTCTCGAAATGGTAAGCTCCAACGTTAATTTGTTTGATTCTATACTGTCCTATGACATGGTCTATAAAACTGGGTTAGTAAGTAGTTTTTCTGTCTCTGAAGCTGCTATCTATGTCCTGCAGAACGCTTTTCCTTGTAATTCATGGATTTGCCCGTAGTTCTGGATGGGGAAGGGGGAAAGAGCAGAGGAGAGCCAGTGGTGGAAATACAGTAATAAAATAACGCTTAACTGTAGTTCTGCCTTTCTGAAAGCCTGCTTTATTTTCCGATTTAAAGAATGTTTTGCATCCTATTTTTATATGTGTATCTGTCACAATGTTGATTTCTTTCCCCAAGCTCTCTGAAATGCTTAGCAGTTGAGAAGGAAAAAAAAAAAAATAGGTTGGAAGAAAAAAAGCTCCTTTCTGTGCAAAAAAAGGCTGCCTATGGGCTAAAAGTCCAGTTCTTTGTCTCTGCTCTCCTCTTTACCTGGGATTAGCAAGAGGCAGAGTGCTGGTATTTCTGGATGTACTTCTGGAAGAAGAATCAGTCTGTTTGTCACCTGCAGAGCGAAATTCAGAAAAGGTGAAAAGGTTGCTGGGAGAAACTGTCTTTTAAAATGTGTTGTTGGAAATCATGTGGGTTTATAATTCGGTTGTAATGTTTGCTGTTTATATTGTCCCAAGCTGTGATGGAGTGAAAACTTTTTTTGGTGGCCTGGTGAACTTAACCAGTTCTGCAAGAAGTTCAGGGGCTGGTGGGTCACCTTTAAACAGCCTTATGACCCGGTGATCTAGAAACGGCGAATCCGTGTTACCAAATTAGAGCAACTGTCAGATATTTTTGCTTCCCTATATGTAGTGGATATGCATGAAATCCTCTCTGAGGTGTGATGGATGGGGTGGGAGAGAGCAAGGTTGCAGAACCTTTTAAATAAGTGAGGGATGTAACTGGATATTCAAGAGAAGAAACAGTGCAACAGGGAGCCTTTTTTTCTTTACGGTTTAACTTCACATTGACCGTTTGCCACTGAAGAATATTCAGTGGCCGCTTCACCTTCCTATAACTATCCGAAATTTGCATCTTTATTTGTTTGGTGCTTTTAATGCCATCTTTATCTGATAATATAATTGATGAAGCGTAATGAGTCTCCAGGCAGTTGCTGAAAAAATTCTGTGAACCATATAATTTTATGCACATTTGCAAAATGCTATAAGAGAAGAAAACTGGAAAAAATCTGAGAGACAGAAGAAACACATTAGTTAAAACATTTTAGAAATACACGAGCATTAATTGGCTCAGTATTTTGGCTACTGAGTTTGGCTGCGTGGGTACTGTCTGTGACAGACCTTATACAAAAGGAAACACTCTGTTGGCTTAGTAATTCTCTGTGCAAGTGAATAACTAGCTGCAAAAGAGCTGGTGGATCAGAGCCATGTGAACTCTTGTCAGCCTGACTTGGAAGTTGGCTTGAGAGCTCAACTGTAACGAGAACAGATGGTGTGAACATTTATGGTTGGGTAGATGCGTGTGTGTCATTAGAAGTTCCTGCACAGGGAAGTGTTTTCTCGAGGGATGGGTTGGACTAATGCAGGTGGCAGGGAGCAGTTGCTTTCCTATATCCAAGGTTCAGTGTTAATTGCCCATTTTATTGCATTACTTTCTCTTCTCTGTGGTTCATTGCAGAAGGTGACTGATACTGCTTCCCTCTGCTTAATCATGTCATGGTTATTGCACGACTTGACTTTTGAATGAAAAACACACGGTGCGAGGTGATGCAGGGGGGCCACGGCAGAAGATGACTGATGTTTCTTTCCGCTGTTTAGTCATGTTATGGTTGTCTCACAGCTCTGCAAATTAAAAGGCAAAACACACACCGTCTGGGATGCTGGCAGGGGGAATTCTCACATAAGATTTTGGAGACTTACAGTATTTTCATTTCTTAACTTTGTATTTTGAACCCACCTTCCAGTATGTCAGATTCTCAACCTGCCAAAGGTTTCTCCTGTTCGGTGGTTTGCACTCCATGGGTTTTTGTTTTTCTAACTACCAAAGTACTTAGAAAAAAACAACTAGGAACTCTTTGTATTCCTTTCAGGCAGAGAAAAACAGCCTAGCTTTTCAAAACACAGTATGCTGCATGAATAGGAAAGTGTAATGTTGACATCTGAACTGGGGAAATAAGAGATCATTGTTCTGTGTTTTTTGTTGTTTTAGCTGTCTGGTTGGGTGCACTAATTGCTTTCAGTTCTGGCCATTCTGTTTCCTCAAGAGCCTAACAACGCAAATATAAATTCATGTAATGTTCTGTGTTCAGGAGTATGCCTTTATATTTTAACCTCTCATCACAGGAGGAGGAGGAGAGGGTTTTGAATAGACAAAGTAGTTCCATTTCCCTCATAATAAAATGGTGACGTGTCTTCCTTTCTCATACTTTCTAACCCTTTGGTCAGCGTATGATCTTTGAAGGTCCACGAGATGGGGGGTATATAGTATGGCTGGACTTGGGTGCGCTTTCAGGCTGTGGTGGCCAGCTGCATTTTGTGCAGCGCTGAGGTGGTGTATCTGGAGGTGGGATTGATCCCCCTCCCTGCTCTGGCAGGATCCCTCCCAGCTCTTCGGAGGCAGCTCTGGGTGCCTGTGCCATGCGGTGTTACGTGCTGCGTAAGTAGCCCTGGTTCGTAGGCACTCAGGAAAGTTGAATAAGGAAACTCTTAAGTGTGGCTTTCTTAAATTCCCAGGTGTTTTAAAATGCCCAAGACACGCTTGTATATGTTAAAAATGTGTTATGTTACGTAATTAATCCTTTAAGCAGTTTTTTGGTTAATCTAGAGCTGCAAAAATCCTTCTAAGTAACACTCAAAATCTTCAGCAGATGTAAACTCGGTGCGCCTGTGATCTTGGGTGTACGTGAGAGAAGTCTGGGGAGGGTAAGATGAGAGCGTTAGTGATGCAGAAGCGTTTGGGGAAGGCTAGGAGCCATATAATCTCCAACTCTTCCTGTATTGTTTGCATGTTGATGCTATTTCTTATTCCTCTCAAAGGCCCATGTGTTCATGCAGATTTCCGAGGAAGCATCCCCACCGTGCTTTTGTAGTCTGGCTGAGGCTGTTATTTGAGAAAAGGTTGACTGGATAAATCAAGAATGGGAATATCAGAGGGCAGGGGAGCTGCGCTAAGAAAACAGCGTTGTGATGGTGAAGACTCTGAAGGTTATTTGGCGACGCAGTTTATCTCTGCCCCTTGGTCTTAAGTTGTTCAAAAAGCTGCGGTACTAGTTCTGAGGCAAAAGAGAAGAGACTTGTAGAATTTTGACAGTGGATGCCTGAGCTTTTGAATTGCTGGCAAAGCCCGTCTGAGACTTGGAGTATTCCCTGTAGCATCTTCGGAGATAAATGTTCAACTGCTGTGTGTCTGAAATGGCTGCTGGCTCCCTCAGGTTCCCCAAGCTTGGGTAAATCTTTTCCTGGATTCTCACATCACTGGTGAATTCTGCAAGGACGCTGCATCGCTGGAGCCTCCTTGCTTGATGTCCTTGAAGTTTGGCTAAGACTACTGTGCTTTGCACTGAGCCGCAGCGCAAGTCTTTGCTTTACACGGTGGAGGAGCGATTCTGCTTCAGGCACAGTCAGAAACGCCTGTGTGCTAATTGTGTTCCCACAGCACTTGGGCACTCTCCGGGACAAATCTCGAAAGACCCTGTGATTCGTAAAAGAAGTGCAGTCTCCAAAGGGAGAAAGACGTGCTCAAAATTCTGCAGTTTTTTCCTTGCGCCTTGGCTGGCGCTTCATTAAGCTTCTTCACTGTCTCCCAAAGCGCGTGTGGCTTGTTTGAGATCCCTGGGAATCGTAGCAGGCCGCTGCCTGTGCTGCTCATCCCGCCTTTTCTTCTCCCTCCCCCCTTCTGCGCAGCCCCAGGAGGCTGAGCTCTTAGAGCTTAGGGCCCTGCCATCCCAGGTTCATTAAAATGTTAATGGCTTTTCTTGTTTCGTAGCTTCTTCCAGACAGGAGGGGTTTCTGTAGTTAGTTTAATGCATGCTGATATTTGGGATTATGTATGCTGCGTATGTATGCTGTGTTCTTGCAGACGTGGTGTGTTCCTTTTTAGTATCTCTCTTCTCCAAGAAGAGGTTTGTTGTTTTTTTTTGTTTGCCTTCAACAAGTATTAAATCCTCCAGATTCCACTGATGTGTTTTTGTCATGGTATTGCATGCTTCTTAGAATGCCCTGAAGATGTTAATTTAATTATAGGATTTTTATTTGAAAGAAATTGCAGCCCCCCTCCCCCCCCCCCCTACTTAACAGGTGTGGTGTGGAAGTCTGGATTTTTTAATTTTTTTTTTTTTTTAATGTCCTACACCTTTTTCAGTCTTTAACAGATTGTCAGCAGCTTGTTTCATTCAGCTCTTTTGGGATAAGAAGAAAATCACTGTGAGCTTTCACGCTGGACAGTGGCTGCTGGCTATTAGGCACTGGGGTGGCTTTCCTGCCCTTCCCACCTTAACTGTCCCACTGCCCACCCCCTTCTCGGATGAAGACTAACCCCCTTGCTTAGGTAGGAGGTGAGCCTCCTGCACTTCTGTCTGCCAGCATTCTGCGGTCTCGCTGTGCCAAAAGCCTGGCAGACTTCTCTGCTGCTACTCCTCTTGCTTCCGTTGAACGTGGCTACCAAGGGCTTGGTCATGCAAGCCCGTAGCATCAATGTAGTTGCTGCCTAGGGGCAGATTTGCACTAACTGTCTGTAGCTGGTGGCAGGTAAGGGGGTTCAAGTTGGCTCTTCCTCCATGGAAATGCTCTTTAACCATGCAGTTTGGTCTTGCGTCCAAGCCCCGAGTCTCAAGTCAGTGGGAAAAGATGCAAGTGTGTGTGCGATGGGAGAATTAAATGGATTTTGGTAATCTTCGCAGATGGATTATGATGGTTCTGCTGCTGACTCCGCTCTCAGTGGAGCTGAGATCTGTTACTTTGTGAACTGAGGAGCGATGGGTTTGCTGTGGTATCTGCTGAGGAAATCTGTGTGTGGGCAGATCTTG